ACAACAATTATTTATTTATGTATAGCTTATTTTTCGACGTTGGCATTAGCTCAGATTATATAGAGCCGAATGAAGGGATGATTCATGAATAATGTAATGGAAATGATATCGAAGGAAGCGGTTGTGGCTCGTTGTAAGGTAATATCCCAGCATTTGTCTGGAAATAATTAAAAAAACCTCAGACGAATTAGTCAGTATCGGGCAGAGATCTGAATGCGGGTCCTACAAAATATGGAGTAATAACCACTCGGCCGCGACATTCGGTTACTAAAACAACAGATCAAAATGACAAATTACAACAATCAGTGGTTCGCCAAAGCAATGAGTTAATGGAAACGCATCTGAATTCGATTCTAGGTTACTCGCTGTAGGAAGAAGCAAACACGCTGCCTGCCCTGTCCCCCATTTGACTGGCGCCCAGTCAGTAATACGACATGGCTGGGTTAGATGCAGCGTTACAACTGAGATCCGTGTTTCTGTTTTCTTTTTAGAGTGAGTGGTAGGGGAGGTCCAGCAAAATGAGCGTTGATAGACATCCCACGGGTTTCTAACCGCAGTGATGAATGTCGTAGGAGGGGCGCAGCACCCCAATAATTCAGCACGCGACATCACGCTCGTCTAGTTTTCAATGTCACACAACTTATGACTTCCTTTTCCACAACTAATTTCAAGGAAATGACTTTTGTTCTTACGCTGGTTTTATGTTCTCACATTCTAACATCATTTACAAAAATGTTTTCAGACGGTGCGTCATAACCTACTACTCCGGTGCATATAACATTAGGAATACAGCACGTCGTCTTAAGGCTGTTATTTTCAGTGGTGCTACCTGTGCAAAGCCAAATTTTTCGTTTATATTTTCTTATACTTGGCTCTGATGTAGTTATGTTTCTTCCGTAAGATAACGTAAGCCAATCAAAGTTTAATCTTTCGAACTAAAGATTTGCGTCTGCTTTGATAATGTTCCCCAATTTGAAGATTTCTGTCTTCTGGGTTATTGCGCTGTGTAGTCTGGTAGATGCTTACCAACGTTTCAGAGGTCATACTGCCTCCGTCATCAGGGCGATGGATTACTGTCTTCTGGGTTGTTGCGCTGTGTAATCTGGTAGATGTTTACCAACGTTTCTGAGGTCATACTGCCTCCGTCATCAGGGCGATTCTTAGTATGAAGATTTCTGTCTTCTGGGTTGTTGCGCTGTGTAGTCTGGTCGATGTTTACCAGTGCAACAACCCAGAAGACAGAAATCCCCAATTTATTTTTATCCTGCCCGCAACAGCTCTTCGCTGTTTTCCATGTTGTTACATGGCCAGTCCTGTATGTGATGACCAGAAGCGCGCGTTACTGGACAACAGAAAACAAGTGGGCAGCTGATGGCGTCATTTATTGGGCGAAAACATGAATACACAAAGAAAAATGCAGATGATTTATTGAAGCCACTAAGAAGTACAGGTAAAGTTAGTTGTGCCTGGTACTTAACTAAGTACGACACCGTGCGGATGTATGGGAAGGGCGTGAGTGGTTATCTTCACTCCCCGGCCGCTTTACCCGGAGGATAGAACAGCGGTATGCTTCCATGTCTCGTCACAGAATGCAGGACAAAATCATAATAAGCCTATAGCGTAAATGTAACTACCACAATCACAAATCTTTAAAACTTAAGATGACGCTAACAAATCACAACTGCATTCTCGAAGAAAGTAAAAGCAGATTCAATTCGGTTAATGCTTGCTGCCATGCAGTTCAAAATCGTTTGTCTTCGTGGTTCCTATCTAAGAAGGAAAAGTTTAAAATATATGAAGCTGTACACAATTTTGCCTGTCGTCTGGTGTGAGAATCGCCGGTCTATTTTATAAAATGGTACGTAACATGTGGGTCATTATGTTGTCTTACTTAGTTACAACTGATGATATATTACAAATCGCGAGATCTTTGCGTGAAAACTTGACACTTGTACCGAGCTGGTGATTAAATTTCTTAACAAAATTTGTACCTGTCAGACTGCATTGCAAGAATGAAAACCAGTGCTGAGAATCTGTGATTAGGTACAGGGTTGGTAGGCTGCATTTGGATCGGACTGGCTGGAATGCATGGGGCGTCAGTCCAGAAACACGACGTTTCCAGCTGGAAACAAATGGGCTACCACTTGCACGTCGAAACCTCTCCCACACCCCTCCGACCATTAGAAATCACTGACCGGGAGAAATAGGATCACGACCTTTGGGTAAGCTTTTCGACAGTGTGTCAAACTGTCAAGTTTTCTTGTGGTAGCATTTGTTTAGCCAGAAATAACTTGATACTAAAGTAGCCATTTTATGATTTCGTTTAAAAAAACACATTAACTAAACGTCTTACAGGAAGGTCACATCTGTCAGCCTGTAGGTTCTCATGTTTCATTATATGAAGAATTTTGATTAAATTTGGTATCGAGCTGTACAGATAATTTATTTTCGGCTTGTATCTCTTTAATGTGAGGCTGGAGAGCGCAGTCAGCATAGTGACTAGGCTATGCGCTGGACAACCGTGTTTCGATTACCGACACAACAGAATTTCTTTCCGTCACTACATCCAGACAGACTCTGGGGTCCACCCAGCCTCTTATCCAAAGCGTCCCGCGGTTAAGTCCTGAGGGTAGAGAGGTCTAGGCGTGAAACCACTCACGCCCCTTTAGTACCGAGGTTAACATTGCGGAGCTACACCGCCGTAGTACATGATATCAGCAGACCTATACGATGTAAAATACAGACCTAAATTGGGTTTACAGCTAATATTTGAAACATGGTGGTTATTAAATTAAGCAGAAAGAAAAATGGCTTATGATTCTGTGAGAGAGATAGATATGCTGTGATTAGTTTTGAAGTAGTGGATTTTTACATGCAATGAATGAACATCAATGCCAATAAGGCATCAATATTACAAAGTTCGCATATTTTATCCACATGAAAAATGAATCAGATTCTGGCATCCGAACCAGGAAACTGAATAATCCAATGAATGACCGATCCGAATCAAATGATGCTGCATGAAATGAAGAAATGAAGTAGACGTACATTGGAAAGCTCAAAAACTATGCAGAGAGACAAGTGAAGAAAAGTATAGAAAAGAGATACAAGAGATAAATCTTGGGTGGGGAAGAGAGAGAGGATGATTAATTCTGAACATAGGTTGCTGACTATAGCTTTAAGCAGACTGCGCAGACAGAAATTTGTTATTGCTTTACATGCAGCCGGAAAAGTGACTGGGTGCAGTCTGGACGACCACGTTTCCATTCCCGTCAGGGACAGGAATTACTGACTTCTGACGGCCCATCCAGTACGAGGGATTCTTTGACCCTGGGGTAAAGCGGTCGAAGCGAGAAGGCGACTACTGTTCTCCATCTACCGTCGAGGTTAAGAATGTCTGGAACTTTACTTCTGTAGTCAAATATACTCCTGTGCTTAAACACAGAATAACTTTATTGTTACTGTTATTATCTTTGAGGATATGGCGGTCTGTTAACCTGCACCTAGTGTGAAGGTTAAAAATGTGTGGAGCTATACCTCCAGTCCCCCTATTTCTGCGTAGCGTGGTACAGAGTTAGGCACCAGAGACAGCTTTAATTTAATATCATTATTATGAACTTATCTCCATCTGTGAGAAAACTTTCTTGGAGAAGATAATTCTTTTCTTGGCACTGCACATATAACTCAAAACAGAGGTTCACGAACCACGGATTTCAAACAAACGACTAGATGATCCCGGAAACGGAACCCGGCTCCTCGTGGCATAGAGAGGAAGGACGTCTGGGCATGCGAGGTGAGAGGATCCACCTGGCAGTGGCTGGCACGTTGGGATCAACAGGAAGTCGGCAGTGCCGTGTTCTGCAGTTTCTGCTTGTAGAACACGACGCGAGACACAGATTACAAGGACCTGGTGATACATTTCTGCAATGGGCACTCATGTCACGCCCTTTCTCCACACTTGCAACTCCACGGAATGCGGAATGTTGTTCCTTTTCGTATTTTGTAGATTTTAACCCTCAGGCTGGCAGGTTTGGATGACACGGGTTTGACTGACTGGTTGTACATCCATTATTTCACGACGCTGCTACACACAGTCATACGACTAAAATTGATATTAGCGATCGTGGCCTATTTATTATTACCTTTTCCATATTATTTTTTTCTTTGCACAAAGTGCATAGTGAGAACTCATAATGGACTGATCTTGTCTGTCAGTCTGTCTGTCCAGTCGATTCAACTCAAGAACCACTGAACGGATTTTGATTAAATGTAGTGCTTTTCTGTACGACCTCAAAATCGTACTTGTGCAAACACAAAATGATTGAGGAGAATATCTGAAACCGAGAGAGGGATGTAACCAGAGGGTAAAGAAAATTGCGCAATAAGGAGCTCCATAATTTGTACACATCACAGAATCTTAGACCTGTTTGGGTGATCAAACCAAAGAGGATGAGACAGACGAAATACTTGTCACGCATGGGAGACATGAGAAATGCACATAAAATTTTACTTGGTAATCCTGAAGAAGTTATACTACTTAGGAGACCTGAGCCAACCGGGAAGATAATATTAAAATAGTATTTAAAGAAACACAAAAGCCCTGGTTAACACATGAGATCATTTATGTAACAGAAGTAGCGGAAATGTTATTTGAATTGCTGGATTATTTGTTTCGAAATACGAGATAAAAACGTGACATTTACGAAGAAGACTAGTCCTATAGTCCCTAAGACATGTTACTTCGATTCCCCTGGCATCCTTTAGTGAAACAGCTTCTGTAATCATCTCGCGCTTACGAATCTACCAATGACATAACCCCTATCGATGTCTGGACCAATCCAGCCTCTCCCAATCCCATTACGTGTGTTTGGAAACCACGCCCTGTTTCCTAGGTTCGCGACCCTTTCTCATGGATCCTCAGCATCCCACATCCCCCCACCCCAAAAAGATCCCCTCCCCTCCTGCTGGTATGTGCTAATTGTTGGTCACGCTAGTTCGAAGATTTCGTCACGGGACTTGTCTGTTATCCCTCAGGAAACGACAGAAGGGACCAGAGGGTCCGTGTGTGTTTATGTGTTTGTCATGTTACTGTAGTGACTGTTATGTTCGATTCTGATTTTGTGATTTTGTTTGCAAGATGTGTAGTGGAATTGTGCACGTTCCATAGCTATAACGTGCAGGAAAACTGAAAAGAAGAAAGGAACACAAAACTGAAGGTAAGAAAAAGTGAGTTGTCGACAGAGGAATCATTTTAACATAAATCTGTTAAACGATACATTAATTGATTACATATTTACTTACACCCAGAACTTAGATCGTTAAAAACCCCTAAGGACTTAAAAATTATCATAATGAAAAACCCACTTTATTCTCTAAAGCAAGATATCATCGCTTTTTTATTCTTCCTATTTCGACAGTGCTATAAAACTAACCCTCACAACGAAACAAAAATATTTAATACATACAAGACAATTTACAAGATTTCTCCTCATATTTTTGGCAACACGAACGGAATATAAAAGATTAAACAATTGTATTTTTAGGGTTGAATAAATTATTTTAAATTGTAAATAATATTATATTCGTTACGCGTATCAACTAGGAATAATTATTACTACGCCTACCAAACAGACACTAAGGTCCGATATGAGCCTTAACATTTCTCGATAATTGACAGGACCCCGAAAGTCAGCCTGTCGCATGGCCTCTAGGTGTATAGGACAACAAGCCACAGTGTGGTACGCGATTTAAACCCACGATCCCAGTATTCGAGCGACAAAGATCCTCGGTTCTCAATCAGACTACGCGGTTGTTAGTAACTCAAATTAACATTAATTGCCGCTTTCAAGAATCCACGGCTCTCCGAACAGCTGATATTTTGGTTTTGCTCCTCACTTCCCAACGTTCAACACAGCTACGCATCTGTCCGTCACATATGAGAAAATATCCCAAAGAAAATAATATACGTATTAATTATTTCTCTTTGCTCTGGATGAAAACTTTGCTTTCCAGAACTTCTAACAGGAAACTATGAAAATGTTAGAACGGGGACGGTTTAATTTGGCCATCAATGGCGAAATCTCCGGTCTGCCTAGAAGTGCGCAGCCAAAACACTAACAATGGCAGAATATGAAACAAAGCTTTACTTTGAAACACAACAACGACATATTGTTATTATTATTATTGTTGTTGTTAACACTACGCTGCGAATGTTGGGGAGTGGGTAATAATATTGTATTTTCGCAGACCTGACTTCTAGACTAGGATTTGCCCCTGTTGGTAAAGTTGCATGACGATCCGGGTGCGGTCTCCGGCAGGAGAAGTAACTTTCCCAAAGAGAACTTCAAACCGGTACCAACTCTCCTATCAGATGTGTATCGGTGGTAAAGAGTGAAGCTGGCCGTCTACTGTTTCGAATTTGTGAAGATTTACCTCGACATCTTGTAATCTGGGTGCATTCTTTATTATGGGCTTCCTTTATTTAATATTTTTGCGTTCTTAAAATTTTGTAAACACCCGCGAGAGTCATATTTCAGGTTCTCGTAGAGAAAAATGTGAATATCATTGACTTCTAGGAACTTGCGCCGTGAACAGTAGTAGACCCTTTCCCTGGTGATAGAGGCAGTAGGAGCCTCTGAAACGTATGTCAGTTTTTACGAGACTAACAGTGCAATGCAGTTATCTTCAGCACCCATTCGACTTTTGAATATCGTTTCTTGATTAATTATTAACATTATGTCTCTTGATATGTGTGTGCAGTCAGTACGAACAAATGATGACCGTACACAGATTTTAACTGTGAAATTAATTTCATGAAGTTCTCTAGTTTTTAAACACTTCTAAATAGCTCAAACTGTTCTCCTAGTAAAAACTACTATGCTCACCTCTAGATTGGACTGAAGTGAGTAGCCAACTTCAAGTTCAGGCCGACTTTACCAAGGGGACCATTCTAGGTACACATTCAAGGTGAAGGTGGCTGACCAAAGAATCAATCTGAATATGGACGTAATGAAGACAGAATTCCCTAAAAAAAATTACGGTCACTTGGTCGAAGGAGCTATCAGTGAACCATAAATTACTTTCCCCTTACATTTTCGGACGCAGCAAGCAACGGTTCTTTGATACTTAGTGCAGTGCAACAGTGTTCTATGTCCAGCAGGGCATGCCTCGCCGAAGACGTGGTGCAGTAAGTGGACCTCGCGGGGGCTCGAGCCCGGACCTTTGTGATGACGAGGACGGGATGTGCACGCGCGAGAAGCCGCAGCAAAGGAACGCAGCGAACGCGAGGGAACGGGCGCGTATGCGTGTCCTGAGCAAGGCGTTCTGCCGCCTGAAGACCACGCTGCCCTGGGTACCGGCCGACACGAAGCTGTCAAAGCTGGACACCCTGCGCCTCGCCACGAGCTACATCGCTCACCTCAGGGCCATCTTAACAGACGAAATGGCAGAGGTGGCCCCCATACACCCTCTCAACTTGGTGAGTCACGAGCTTGAACCTTTCCATGCTACGCACGAAATATCTCGATTCAAACCTTTCGCCATTACACATTGGATTTATATTATTCTATATGATAACTCCGCCATCTCATAACAGTTTTACATCACCACTTGTGGCTTTTCAACTACAGAAATTACATCCGTCGTGGACATACAACAACAGAAGACGGAGATATTGATCTCATTCTTGTGTAGTAAATAAGTTTTCAAAGCCTTAGCCAACAGCATCAGACACGTGGGTTTCAGGCGACCGCAAATCGACAATTCCCCAGACGCATGGTAGTATTATTAAATGTCATAAGAAATATTATTTGCAAACTCAACATCTTCACTGGCACTCGAACTGAAGACAGTTCTTGGGTTTTTAACCGCTGCGCCTATAGCTAATCTCCCCGCCGGAACAAACATTGTGGTTCTTGGTTCCGTTCTTCTATCGCAAACAGTTTGTGGATCAAAGAAAAAAAACCCACCGGGACTCCAACTCAGGACAATTTCGAAAGTATTGGCCTTTCGAGGTTGTGGCCTACTTTCCTGTAATCTCTCCACCGAAACATACAGTTTTGGTATTCGCCCTGTTCTTCTGTCGTGTCTAGTTTCCGGCCTATATGTCTTGACCGGGACTAGAACCCAGGATACATTTGTTTGGGTTTGGCCTTCGTTTCTGTAGTTTAGGCGCTGAAATAAACAATTTTGTTTTGACTAGGAACCCAAATAACCTTTTTCCCAAAATCATTCTTTAGTGATCAGGATACTCCGTTGTTAGTATAAAATTATAAATTTTAAAAAGCCAATGAGACTTAAGATATGTCACTACACAGAAACATAAATTCTGTTCCTGACAAAGATAACAAACAGATGAATAAACGAGTCGTGAACCTGATCTCTGTGGTGTGACATGGAAGGTATTTGCCGATCTATTTATGTACGTACAAGCAGAAAGACAGACAGGACATGTCTTGTTGCATAAACCTGCAGAAAGAAGTGAGTTAAAGCCATCAGTCACAATTTTTGCCACATCTTAATCGATTATGCGCCTTCTTCTCATCGTAGAGGCCAGATTTCAAACCCAGAACCAGTCCGCATGGAGTTTATGGCAGACAGGTGACACTGGAGTAGGTCTAATACAAGCGCCTCAGGTTTTTCTGCGAAGTGTCCATTCTTAGGCTGTCTATCACCGCTCACAAACTGTATGATACGACAGAATTCATTTCTGAAGCGACTCACAGCTGAATTGAATCAGAGCAAAACAGTTAATGTAGATGGCTGTCTTCTAAATTGTTGCGCCGTGTAGTCTGGTAGAAGTTTAACGATGTATCAGAGGTGCTTGCTGCCTTCACTATTATCGGGACCCGAAGACAGCCATCTTAGCAGACTCGAGAACAAAAGTCCTTGTCCAGTGAAATCTTCCGCATTGAACATGTCCTATTAGAGCACCGATCTAAAGAAACGCTTATCTATAACGGATCTGGCACCAAAACACATAGTAAGGTTGAACTGATTAATTTTCTATACGTATCGGTTATGCATCCAGTTTAGAGTGTGAAAGGAAAAATTCCAAACTAACTGGTAAGAACAAGTGTTTGAATTTTAGTTCTCTGTTGATGTAGATGCGTTCGAAGCAAATTTGTGTAATTTTGTGTCATTGTTGCTGTTTCGCTGTGACTGACCACGAGAGATAAGCACAGTACAGTTGTTTCAATAATCGCAGAAACATATGTTAAAACAATTCTATAATTTAACTGTTCAAACAGTTCTACGAGATCTCTTTCACATTAAACAATGTAAATATTATCCATTATCAGGACATTATTACATCATTAGTTCGAAAATTGCCACCCAAAAATAATTCATCTGCAGAAGAAGACCTTCATGTTTTATTGTTATAATTGTCTAAAATTACTGCTGTAGTAATGTTTCATGGCGAAATATATAACCCCCTAACATTTTTTCGCTTATCCGCGAGGTGGCAGTGCAATGCATAATCACTGTGACGTCATGGGAACAACGACAAAAGTATTTACATGAAGAAAATGACAGTAGTATTTTGTCATTGGTATCTTGTGATATTCCTCTGCGTGTTTAATATCGAATGTGTAATGGCAATTGGTATTTTTGTGGACTGGTCCAGCACTGTTGCCAACACTACGAATTCTAAGGATTGGTGGCGTTCTTGACTGATGAGCTGTGTTTTAAAGCACGTTAAAGTATATTAATTTAACTATAACCCCAGAACAGAGATAAGAATGCACTCTTCAGTAAATATACAGTCTGGTAAAAAAATATTTTATATAACTTTGTTAGTTAGTTAGTCGGCCCGTTTTGCTTGTTTAATAGGTTAGGTTAGTTAATTAGTCGGTCAATTGCGGTAGTTAATTAGTTTAGAGCAGAGGTTAAGGTTCTTTGTATGGCAAGTAAATTAGGAACATTTATTTGGTTAGTAAGATTTGAGGTTCTGAAGGTGCTGATGTTAATCTTCTGGTCGTGAAGTCATGTGGACTTTTAGGTAATTACAAACGTTTCGGAGTAAAATTACTATCTTAAGGGCTGATACAGACAGCATGTTTCCTCCGAAAAGTTTGTATCTACCTACGACGTTACAGCTCAAAACAAAACATCGACATTCAGTTTGGTTTGTCCCTTAATTTGTTCCTCAAGAAGTCTGTCGGTCTTTTACTTTGGAGGTCAGTTTGTTATTGGTTACTGAGAAAGTTAATGAGCCATCCAGCTAGATAGTTTAGGGCTCTGCAGAGCTTTGTTTCGTAACATCAGATGAACGAAGAGTCAGTTACGCCCTTCCTGCTCGCAAAGCGCCACTCCACTATGTTGGAAGCGCAAGCGTTGAAAATAATCAGTCGCGGGCGGGTTTTATGACATGTTATATCCCGGCAGCTCGTTCCAACACAAACAGCAGCTTAAGTAGACAGCAGAAGAAAAGGCGCCGAGGGTTATTTCGTCTAAAAATGTGCGAATTTTTAACGCGTAGTACTGTTTCTAATTTGGGGCGTAGGGGGTGGCGTTTATAGAAAAAAGTACACAAGTTATGGGAATAACTCAATGACTCTCCTAGCGTTTCAATCTATATCATAAAGATAGCAAGAAATATAAATATTAATTTTAATATAATTTAATATTCCACTACTGATTCCGAAAGTGGTACATTTGCCAGACACAATCCAAAGTTTCGCACCGCCTCCATGTTTGTAATTTTTAACAAATCATAAAAGTATTATTACGTACCTCTACATAAACTTTTTCATTAAGCTAGACCCAATATTTCTTAACAAATTCAAACTATGCTTTACAGCTTAGAAACAATTTTTTTATTAATTCCTGTAACGTAACGATAAGACAGGTTAGCATAACAAACGTGCACGCCCTAATATTGAAAAAGTAGTATAAATATATTTAGATCAGTAGATTGTCTTTCGGTCTAATGCTGATAATGATGGTGATGAAGCCTACCCCTAAAACTACTAGCTTCCCTCCCCAATTTGATATTGAAAGAGAAAAGAGCAATTTGAAATAATCTAAGTGTTCCTAGAAGTAACATCGACACCTTAATTCGGTAACATCGCGTGTAGCTCATACAATTTCTTAACATACATTAATGTTTACCTAAATGCTATACTGCAGACTTACTCAACCTTCATGGTACCGCGGAACCCCTCCCCACAATTATCCCTAACATTTTGATTAAATAGTTTATAGACGAACTAAAATGTGAATAGACGTTATAGTTTTACTAGTCACATGTTTACTCTAATGTAGAAGTAGAAAATTCGATGAAAGAATGCTTATAACTAGCAAGAATAAAAGAGTTGGATGTAGTCAACTCGCGGGCTCCTTAGACGTACAGTTCACATTTTCATTTCGAAAATGGCCTCTAGATTCTAGAACGTATTTCTGTTGGGCGTTTCTTCCACCCAGACGCAGTAACACGGAGAGGATGGTCTGACCATTGCTTAATATGGTTATTCATATCGACGCAAATATGTCTGTACTGTGCAATCATTCCCACATTTTTATTTCACTGCCGTTGCTTGTACATCGAGAAGATATAAGGAAACAGTGAAGCGTGCTTGGTACGTTTCTTTGTCCTCGTGCTATAAACACGGGAACAGCTGGATGCAGTCCTCACACGCTCACTCGCTCGCTCGCAACAATTTTTAATGATTCTTGAAGCAATCTAATTGTTTATTTTGGTGAGCCCTCGCGCTTTTGTCTATGTCTGTAAAGCGAACGCTGGCCGGACGCCATATTGTCCCAGGTGGATCCTGTCTAGTACCCCCAAACTTTTAGCGCCATCTTTGTTTATCAAAAAGAGATAGAGGAAGGGTTCGGATTATTTCGGAAACGTGGGTCGTGGGTGGCATTTTACTGTTTAATTTAAAACAAAGACAAAACGTAAACCTGTGCCGAAATAATATAATATATTTGGCCTCTAATTAATGAATCACGCCTATTCGTAAAAAACTTTGCCTTTAAAATCGGTAATTCTTCTATTTTAGAAACACATGTCTTAAGGTTCCCAACTGAACTCTGCAAAAATTAATCAGTGCCAAGTTAGAGAGGTTTCGCCGTCCGTCCGTCTGTGCACAACAATATCGTCATTCTCGTAATAGATACTGTGAAATAACGACTAATGGAATATAGAAATTGCAGAAAATTTCTTATTTTTAATTTGATTTTAAACGAATAATGCAGTAGCTAACTACCTATATGAGACTTAATCTTTCTGGGGAAGATGATAGTAGCTCAGCTGTTAAATAAATTACCGAATTTTCACGTATTTAGTATTTAATTCCGTTAGACTGTAATACTCCTAAACCTTGTCACAGAGCAAAGATCTGCATAGGCTACACGCTTGACTCAGCTGCTGGAGAAGTTGCCGCAAGACGACGGCGAAATGAAAGTCACTTTGCAATATTGTGGGAATTGTTTCTTACTTATTTCTTTTATACCCTTTATGTCTTGGCATAAATTTACTCAGCCAGTAATGAGACAGTATTTGACCGACTTACCACAAATGAGAACAAAACCAAATTACCTCACTATATAATACAAATAATATAATAAGTTTTACGTCTGTCTACTTACAGACATGGCCGTTCAGCTTCCAGCAACAGAGTCAGGGCCTGCAGGGACAGAGTCCAAGGGTCGGGGAAGAGCTGCGCCGCGGGGCAGACACCTCTCCTTCCAGCAGCAGTCCAGATCTGGAGGAAGAGGACGGCAACCATCATCACCATCACCATGCTTCGGAATTCCTGAATTCCCATCACCACCATCATCACCATCACCATCATCAGTACTCAGACTCACTACTACATCTTGGCTAGCTCAGCAGAGACCGTTGAATTTCTGTAATATTAAAATACTTTATTAAATTCTTGAACGCGAACACGAAACTAAGGATTCATATGGTTCAGTCAGTATTACAGTCACCTGTATCTATTAACATTATACGTTTACAGCTCCATACTTGAGCAACGCTATAACAGAACTAATGAACACATTAGTTGCACATTAATAACTGCAAACCGAAGCCTATAATCGCGGTCTGAGGAAATATTAGTTCCGTCTCATGTTTGGAAGCGCTAAAATATCTCAGCTAGCAAATCAACTGCAGCAAAATTTCTCCAATATTTGTAATTATTTCTAAATTCAATTATTTTTATAGCTTGCCCGTCTGGAGCTTATAATCACTGTCTTATAAAACATATATCTTTTATTTTGTAAGGTAATTATTACTTCAGCTAGTAGAGTGTACAGTTTTCTCCGCTTTGTCTGATCCACTGTCTCACTAGCAGAGCACAGACATTCAAGCGCTAAGCTGATAAGACTTTCAGTTTAAACCGGCATTACAGTTCTCTGCAAAACTGCTGCTACGGATATGGTTTTGTGGATACTGCAACCATTTTACAACAATACTTAAAGAAAAACTGCACATATTTACGAAAACAAATAAATGTAAGCTGATTCTGTCGTAGGAATGAAGTACTATTTGTTGCATCATTTCATAAATGGATGGAACACAAAAGTCTGAATTAGATTTTATGAGTGCACCTTATTGTAATTATTAAACCTTTTATATTTATTTTATTCATGTCTCTTGCTTACATAACGCTGTTTACAACATACAGACGACTCTCGTTATACGCGCTTTCGCTGTCCACGTTTTCCCGTGTCAGCGGTTTTATTTCAGTGTCATGAGAAGTATCAACATCCTATCCGAGGCCACGGTAGAAGCGCCGACTGAGTTGTTCGCAGTTTCACTGAGTCCCTCCACCATATAGACTCCGAACACCAAAAATGAAGGTGTTACTCAGAAAGTCCACGGCACGTTAAACTTTTTCTGTTTTTGCGTTCCCGATATAAGCGGGAATTAGCAGGAACGAGAGTCACCTGTGTACATAAACAACTTTGTACTGTTTAGTATGTACGTCGTTAAGTATAATATATTAATGATCAGTTCCAAAACATCGTCCATCTACGAGATATAAACTGTACACTGAAAGTGTATAATGCAGCAGCCCGCTCTGTTATTTCATCCCACTGGAATTGGACAGGTCTTGTGCGTAAGACAATTCACTAACCAATTCAGTGCTATGAAGGACTTGCATCGTTCCAAAACGGAGCTAACAACGCTAAATACCTTTAATATGTTACTTTATTAGTGAAATTTCTACTTCGACATCTTGACGTTTCAAGTTAATCTTTCCCAACTTTCCATAAACATGGAACATCATAACGCTTCTGCGTCACACGCAGAAGGTCAAGGCTTTGAAACTCTAACCTGAGATCGACTGGATGTTTTCATAGTTTTCTTAAGTTTCTCTTAAAAATGATGTAATTATAACTTAAAATAGATCGCGAACGCTTCCTTCCACATCATTTCCAATGTATCATTCACAACAACCCTAGTATTCAATGCTGTATGACCTATACAGTCATGAAAAGTCATTCAATAAATCAAAAACTTTCAAAATGACTTTATAAGTTACTTCTGTAGTACACAAACGACAAATTCCAGGAAGGAGAGTGCTTTTGATAAACTAATAGTTGCTCAGGTGGTCAAAAAATGCCTGTGTATTACCCGAATACAAGTTTAGTGTGTTATCACTACACTAATCTGCTCGGAAATCACCAATTTGAGCTTCGTGTAAGGCAGGGGTTATTTTACACTGATATTGACCAAAATTACACTTTTTGCCTACGTTTCATGGATATCACTAAGTGGTTTGAGAGATGAAATTAACGCATTAGTCTTCGCGTTAGGTAGTCGCTTCATGCAATGAGCCATCATTTTCAAAGAAATAAGCAAAAAGAGGAAGAAAAGCTGAATGAATGAGAGAGGGCAAAACGGAAGGAATGAAATAAAGACTTCTTTCCAGAATGAAGACGACGTATCTGTGCCGACAACCGCTTGACAAGTCATGCGCGGATAATTGCTATAATTCATATATTTTTGTGCGTAACAGCGGTGAGTGTGTTAGCGTGTAATTACAAACACAAAACTCGAGCGGCTACAAATCGTAATGCCGACAAGAAGATCAGGTTTTCATATCACGTCTCTGTGACGTCGTGCATTTCCAGCTTCCCCCCCCCCCCCCCCCCCCAAAACTCGAGCGGCTACAAATCGTAATGCCGACAAGAAGATCAGGTTTTCATATCACGTCTCTGTGACGTCGTGCATTTCCAGCTTCCCCCCCCCCCACAAAAATACGCACGCACGCACACACAGCTCAGAATGTATCTGGAGCGTCACTTACAAAAAGCTGCTGTTGTTCTTGAGATGGTATTGTTGTCAAAGACACACAATGGCACGCCACAAGATTTTGTCTATAAACGAACATTGACATCTACATTCAAATCCTTGCCCTGTAATAATGCGTATGGAAACAAAACATTGCACATGTTGAATTCAATTATAGATAATGAGTCAGTGAGTGTGTGTGTGTTAATGAATTCTGATTACGAAAGACAAGAGATTGCCTTTTTCTGACTATAACGTGCTAATATACGATTTCTTACAAAAAAATTCGCGGCACACCCGAAACCGTGGCGGTACAGCGGTTTGAAACACTGACTTCAACTACAGAAAGAATTAAAACACTGGCAGACGGGAACATTTATTACAAAATGATCCTGCTCTTATAGTTCTGCCCGTACTTAATTAAGCAACGCGTTGTCAGCGTCACGCGCTGGCCACTTTACTTCCCCAGAAACAGCCCTCGATTCGCCTTGCATACGAGTCAGGGTGGACCCCAGGCCCAACCTGAACACTGCGAAGAGAAAATCCTTTCTCGCTGTTTTAATACAAAATTATTCGTCTTTGGGAAACGTTATGATAAAACTCGTAGATAAAAGCAAATATGCCTCCTGATATAAGTAGCACGCCGTCAAGGGGTGTGAATGATAAGGACGCAAACTCACACTGATTCTGCATTTCGGCACTAGATGGAGGTGATAGTCAACTTTACACTCCGACCGCTTTACTCCCAAGGAAAGATGAACGTGCTGTGTTCAGTCCACACCAGCACAGGAGAAGCAATTTTTCTAGCCTGAATGGAAAATGAAGAACACAAGCCACTTTAACTATTCAGAGTAATTTATGTACACTAAAATCATTTCTAAAAAGGCGAGTGGTCAGCTTAAAAACTAGCATTACAGTTGGTACAACGTAGTAAAATAACTGGATTAAAAAGTTAACAATAGTTGAAGATTTCTGTCTTCTGGGTTGTTTCGTAGAAGACAGAAATCTTCATACTCACTGCTTTGAAAACCTCAAATCTTACCTAACAAAAGTTCCTTCGTCACTGAAATAACGCATCTTGAATTTCCACAGCAAGACACATTTTGACACAATAAAAAATAGAGGAATGCATGAGAGCAAGACAGCTCTGACTGCTAACTATAAAGCCCAATAACAAGTAAATGTAAGTATATACACATAATCCGATGCCTTTCTTTAACCCCTATGGGGGTGGTGAACAGTAAATAAACAAACGGATGAAACAGTTAGGGTGTAAAGGCAGGTCAGGATTGTTAGTTACATATGACGGCAGAAAGACAACGGCTTCACAGAAATTCGATCGGTCCTGGAAACCCATAAACACGGTGCTGAAAACCGTGGGAATTGGCCGGCTTCAATCCCCAACATAAACACCTCGCGCGGGGCTTTGGGTGCAAGATTTTTTTCATTCTTTCGTTACAAACCGAAACAATCCCGTTACGTTCTGGCAAAATGACGTAGGAACGGGAGAACGAGCAAGTGGTTACAATTCTTCTTTGAATAGAAGAGGTCACGTGTTCAATTTTAGCCCTGAATTAGACAAACCTAACCGATATTAATCAGGAAGAAATGGTAGCATACATGTACCTTAAAACAAGCGAAGATTTCTTCCTTCCACGTCCTTCTAAATTCGTCATTAACGCTAGGACGTCTTTTACTTTAAGGAACAGACTAGACCCATGCAATTGATAAAGTGTCTCTAAACAAACACACCTAAGGGACTCCATAAAAACGCTTATGTGTGTAGCAACTAAGTTTAGTCTGAGAATTAATGCCAAAGCTGATCAAATCCCACCTATGGCCTTGAGTAATTTGAGGGTTCGAGTCCCGCTCGAGGCACAGTTGTATTACAAGTTTCTCTAGGCTGTGTCGTCCTGTATAGACAGAGGCCTTTCTATGATCCGATCCCAAAACAAGGTGTTCACCCAAAGTTTCATATATTTTTTTTAGAATTTACTATAAATCAAACTGGGGCTAAGGTGCTAAATATGTTGTGTGTATTAGATTCATATGGCTCAGGAAAGGGACCAATGGCGGATTCTTGCGAACGCAGCAGTGAACTATTGCGTCCCGTTAAGTGCCAAGGATATGAATGACCATTGACGCTGTGGTTGAGAGATTTTTTTGTCAGTCTTCTATTATTTTTTATGATTATATGGAATATACCAGGGCTAGGTAAAGACTACATCAGGTGAGACTTGACTTTTTTGTCATTCATTTTGAGGGTTTTGATTTCTTAAAAACTTGTCCTCAGAGATTTGAGGCGGTGTATGTGTCGATCGAAAAAATCTGGGTTGTACCTGGAGGTAGATAACAACATTTCGGAATAAGATGCTATCGCCATCTTCCTCGCTGAATGTCACTGTTTAAACGACTTGCTATTCAGAATGTTCTTTTCTTAGAAGTTTCATCAGTTCGCACATAGATGGGGAGATGAGCGCGACCAGCTTCTGCCATCTAGCGATGGTTCTTGTCAACGATTCTACTCTACAAGAAGAAATATATTTTTAGTTTGGAATTTAGCTACATGATGACACTCGTGTAGGAGGTAGAATACAAAATTCCCTGATAGATGTCAGTAAAGTTGTCATGGAAATTATAAATTTGCCGTATAGATAGCGCAATAGTTGCTGCTGTAAAACTGGAATACATTCATAAATCAAACTAAAGTTTAAGTGAGTGCTAATGGCCCTTAGTGCTTTCAAAATGAGAAAAACAATCAATCTAAGGGAAAGACAAGGCCAATCAACCTTGCGCATTTAATCGTTTCTAAGATACAGCCCCGTGAAAAGCCTGAGTTATAATTTTAAGAGCCTGCCAAGAGACGGCATTCTTTTTGGTCTAAATAAATCTGACAATAAACAAGAAAACATTAATTTCTCTTTCTAGAGTGAATATTAAGGTACGAAGACACGAGTTTTCTTACTCTCATCACACCTTTCCCTCATAGTCCTGCTTCCGTTTTCTTCTTTACCTTCTTTTCTTCATGAACATAATATACAATGCGCTATTCTTCACGTTCCTTTCTCCATTTTTATTACCTTCTACTTCTTTTATCTTCTTCTCTTCACCCCTTAATTCCATCCACGCACCTGATTTACAATCGGCCATGACCATATCGTCCGCAATGTTTCATATTCTACTTGTCACTCTGTGCCCTATAAAGAGTCTTCAAACAACCCAACAAAGGAAATACTAAACAACAATCGACAAAGCCTGCCTGATTTCACATCGTCTGTCTGATCATTACAAGACTACGTTTCCATTGACGAAGTTCACAACACGCTCGTAGATGACAAGAATGCAG